CCTGGGTAGCGAGGAGACAACACAGGAACAGGATTTTCTTCTAATGGGCTCATCTCTACTCTTGGAAAGTAAAGTTTACCTGAGTTTGGCTGAGGCCAGAAGCCATGGAAGAACATAAGTGGGCTCCGTGGCCCTCCCCATGGTAGAGGACACAGGTCTAGCAAGGTGCTTCCTTTGTTCTTGGTTGGCCCGAAGGAAATTGGCTTTACCTTGGGTCCCTCCTTTTGTGCCAGTATTCAAGGGGTGAAACTCTGACCATGGGTCATATAAGGGGTCAGAGTGTAGCATAACCCTCTTTAGGGGCCTTGACCTTCCTGGCTCTAGAGCTAGGATTGTCCAATTTGCTTTCATGCTGCTTGGAGCTAGGGTGGCGGTATGTTCCCCGCCTTACTTGGTTCCAGCTGTCAGAAGACCCAACCTTTAGAGTCTGGAGTCTTTGAAAGATCAGGAGAGTCCTTGTTTTGTGATCCCAGTACCTCCTTACTCAAAGGAACTGGCCTGAGGATAAGGGATCGCTTGTACACAAGTCATGTGCAGAAGAATGAAACAGCTTGCCTGGTGGGCCCGTCCTGTCTTGAGCCTGGTCCTCTGGGCCTTGGAAAAGTTAGATCTGTGATCTCTGCGGTTTCCATGGCTTTGTTTCGTGCCTCCCCCTCTGAGACTGGCCGAGCAGTCTATACTTGACAGGGTCTCCTTCCCCTTCGAGGAGAGCCTATAGGGAAATCTGTGAATATTATCGTTGCGATTCTTTGATATTCATAACACTTCTCACCTCCAGTCAGCCATTTGCCAGGTACCACGTGAGCTGTACAACAAAGTAATTCTCCAAGGCAGAGGACAGCTGTGGCGGTGTTTATGGCCAGCCGCACATTCCCTTTCTCCTCAGGTTTTGTCTCTTCGTGTCATCCCCCAGCAAAGGGAAAGACTGTGGGGTAGATTGGGAGAACAAGTTAGAAGGGTAGCAAACAAACCCCAAACTGTGTGTGGGGGGGGGAGACTATGGGGATGTCTCTTGTGAACAAGGAGAGAGTGCCTGCCACAAGGTCCAGAGGGAAATAGTGCTATGTCAACACCTGGACTTTTTGGCCTTGGGCCTCTCCCATGAAGTCCTTTCTGTGGCTCCAGCGTGACCCAGGACCCTAGTTACAGCTCTGCATCGTAAGTCACCTCTGGGCATTTTCTGGACTGCCCAACTGCCATCTTCCGTACTTCCATCAAGCTGTGAAGTTGACTATTGGGAGTTGCGGGAAACTGAGCCCAGAGCTGCAGCCTGTAGCCTGTGGAGATCTGCTTCTGTCGCCCCCCAGTGGCTGTCCTTTGTTAACATCATCAGGAAGATGGGAAGATCAAGCCGAACTACTTTTGTTTTTTGGTTTTTTTTGCCCTGCCAAGGGTAGAAGAAAAACACAAGTGTTTTATGAATTTATCCAATCTCTTTTGTTTTTCTTCCAAGAAAAGTGAATTGAGGCAATGTCATCTGCTCCAAGTTGAGTGGTTTATTCAAAATAAACTTAAATTTCTGATTATAAAGATGTGTATAGTGTTTCTTCAAATAGTCCCAGGTACCTCTCTGAGCCCCCAAAATGGTCTGGCCAGTGATCCAATGAGAGCCCTCTTGTCATCTTTGCCTTCTGAGGAGCTATAAAGGAAGTATCAACTCTCCTTGGGTGCAGGCTGAATTCTCCACTGCCTTTAGAGTACTTCTGGGTCCAGCCTGGGAATGTGGCTCAGTGGTAGAGTGCTTACCTAGCATGCATGAAGCCCTGGGTTCAATTCCTCAGTACTACCTACACAGAAAAAGCTGGAATTGGCTCTGTGGCTTAAATGGTAGAGTACTAGCCTTGAGCAAAAGCTCAGGGACAGTGCTCAGGCCCTGAGTTCAAGCCCCAGAACTGGCAAAAGAAAAAAGGCCTTGCGTCCCTCTACCCAGACATGGGGATAAATAGGAGGGGGGCCATAACCCTAGGGGGCCTGAGGATTATAAAGACACAACCTGGGACAGAAGTATAGATGGTCTAAATCTAGGTGGTTAGGTGGTCTAAATATAGACGATCTATTGATAGTCTAAGCACTTAAAGGGTTTGGGTTTTGATTTGTGTTGTCAGCAATGTCAGCAACTTTAGTGGTAAGAAGCTTGGGGGTACTGTGAAAACTCCAAAATGGTAGATACTGTGCAACTGAAGCTAGCTAGAAATTTCACAGACTGCTTAATTCCTCAGGTGTAACATGTCTTGTGCTTATAAACAAGGACAGGGTCTACCCTTCAGGAGCCTTTAGCCCTTGAGGGATGAGTACGTTTTTTGTTTGGTCATGGGGCTTGGACTCAGGGCTTGGGCGCTGTGCCTGAACTCCTTTACTCAAGGCTAGCACTCTACCACTTGAGCCACGGCACCACTTCTGGTTTTTCTGGTGGTTCACTGAAGAAGAAAGTCTCACAGACTTTTCCATTTTGTGGTGGCTTGAACCATGATTCTTAGATCTCAGCCTCTTGAGGAGCTAGGATTATAGGCGTGTGCCACCAGCAACAAGCTACTAATAAATATTTTTACTGGACAGCAAGACCAGCAACAGAACCACCCAGGAATAAAGCCATCTGGACAGATGAGTGGTCAGACAGGTCAGGACATTTGTGCTATACTCTTGAAGATCTTCCAAATGAGGAGACAACAACATCTAGATTTCCCATGTACATTTGAATGCCATGTTTTATGTCAGGCTGCATTTTGGGCACTGGATATAAAGTCAATCAGGGCTGAGAATGTGACTTAGTGGTAGAGTGCTTGCCTAGCCTGTGTGAAGCCCCAGGTTCAATTCCTTAGTAGCACATACATAGAAAAAGCCAGAAGTGCTGTGACTCCAGTGGTAGTGAGCTCGCCTTGAGCTGAAGAGCTCAGGGACAGCACCTAGGCCCAGAGTTCAAGCCCCATGACCAACAGAAGAAAAAAAGAACTTTTGTGGGGGTAAGGAGATAAAGGGGTCCCCAAAGGTGGGTAACTTAGTGGATGTTTACGTGCATGGATGAAACCTGCCATTGTAGAAGTTCAGCAATGCTGAGGTACGTCTGCCCTGATTGTGGCCAGAAAATGCAGCCATAATGCTGTTGCTCTTGTTTGCGTGTGTGTGTGTGTGTGTGTGTGTGTGTGTGTGTGTGTGTGTGTAACTTTTTCCCTGAAGTATGTCCATCTCCTGAGGATAACCCAGCCCTTGAAAAGCAAAGTACAAGAATGTCTTGGCAGAGCTGGGAATGTGGCTTAGTGGTAGAGTGCTTGCCTAGCATGCATGAAGCCCTGGGTTCGATTCCTCAGTATTACATACACAGAAAAAGTCAGAAGGGGTAATGTGGCTCAAGTAGTAGAAAGCTAACCTTGAGCAAAGGCAGCTCAGGGACAGTGCCCAGGCCCTGAGTTCAAGACCTAGGACTGCAAGAGAAAAAAAAAATCTTGGCATCTGACCACTGCTATGTCCTCATATCCCATTTGTGTGTGTGTGTGTGTGTGTGTGTGTGTGTGTGTGTGTGTGTGTGTGAATCCGAGTTTAATTTTCCTTGGGGGTGATGGGTGTGTTTCTGAGCTGTAGACAAACCCCTCCTCCTCCTCCTTTTTATTGCAGTCTTGGGGCTTGAACTCAGGGCCTGGGCACTGTTGGTGAGCTTTTTCTGCTCAAAGCTAGCACTCTACCACTTGAGCCACAGCACTACTGCTGGCTTTTTCTGTTCATGTGGTAGTAAGGAATCAAACCCAATGCTTCATGCATGCTAGGCAAACACTCTACCACTAAGCCACATTCCCAGCCCTCTTCTTCTTTGTTTTTGTTTTTTGATTTTGTCTGTCATGGGGTTGAATTTTTGGCCTGGACACTGTCCCTTCACTTCAAGGCTAGCACTCTACCACTTGAGCCACAGCGCCACTTCCAACTTTCTGGTGATTAATTGGAGATGAGTCTGACAGATGTTCCTGCTCGGGCTGGCTTTGAACCGTGATCCTCAGATCTCAGCCTCCTGAATAGCTAGGATTACAGGTATGAGCAACCAGAGCCTGGCTTCCTCTTCTCCCTTCTCTCTTCTTCCACTACCACCTCCTTCCCCCTCCTCTCCTCCTCCTCTCCTTCCTCTTCCTTCTTTCTCCTTCTTCGCCAGTCCAAGGCCTGGGCACTGTCCCTGAGCTTCTTGAGCTTCTTTGGCTCAAGGCTAGCGCTCTACCACTTGAGTCACAGCACCACTTCCGGCTTTTTCTGCTTATGTGGTGCTGAGGAATCGAACCCAGGGCCTCATGCCTGCGAGGCAAACACTCTACCACTGAGCCACCTTCCCAGCCCACCCCTTCTCTTCTTTGCATGTGCCAGTTTTGAGTCATAATTCGCATGCACTCAGCACCTGCTAACGCCCGGAATGATTTCCTGCAGCATTCCTCTCTACCTCAGGCTCCAAACCCACCGTCCTGTGCGACGCGTGCACACCAGGCTTCCTCTCTGCCCACGACTGGAGGGGGCATGGATCTGCTTCCTCCTCGCGCGCTCTCAGCTTTTGGACCCCCCCCTCGCAGTACTGAGTCACCTGCCTCCTCCTCCTCCTCCTCCTCCTTCCCTTCCTCCCTGAGACACTCCCGGGAGTCCAGAGAAACCGCAGATCTCCACCGGGAAGCCTCAGCATCTCTTCTGCCCTCTTCCCCGCCCCTCCCTCCAGGTCTCCCAGCAACCGTCGCCTAGCAACGGCGCTGCGTGCGCGCGGGCGGGACGTCTCGCGTCTCCGCTACTGCGCAGCCGCGCAGCGCGAGTCCGCCCCCCCCCCCCCTCCACCCCGGACCCTGCGGCGGCCCCTCCTCCCCCGAGGCGCGCGGACGCGCGCGGGCCGCGACCTAGCTGCCATGGCGGCGGCGGCGGCGGCGACGACGACGAGCCCAGGCCCGAGGCCCGAGGCCTTGACTGCGGGTGTGGCCTGGGCGTCTCCGGAGCCCCGCGGAGCTGGCGTGGCCTCCGGCCTCGGCGACGCCGCCGCCGCCGCCGCCGCTGAGGGCGACGCGCCGGTGCGGCCCCTGTGCAAACCGCGGGGCATCTGCTCCCGCGCCTACTTCCTGGTGCTCATGGTGTTCGTGCACCTGTACCTGGGCAACGTGCTGGCGCTCTTGCTGTTCGTGCACTACAGTAACGGCGACGAGACCACCGACCCGGGACCCCAGCCTCGTGCCCGGGAAGACCCTCCCCCGGCCCCCGCTCTGAGCCCCCTCCCCCGGCTGGAAGGCATCAAGGTGAGGACGCCCCTCCCCCCCCCCCAGCACCCCTATTGCTCTCCAAGGCCCAACCCGAGGGGAAGGTCGCTCATCCCTGTCCCTCCCCTGCCCCCCCTCCCATCCTTACTCTTACCCCTCCACCCCTTCTGCACCTGACTGACGGGGGGGGGGGGGTGGTCAGCCCCATGCGCGCGCATCTGCAGGCCAGCCAGATGTTGCTACCACCCAGTGCCACCTGGCACACCCCAGCTCTACCCACCCGCTGTGTGCCTTTCCTTGTAGGTGGGGTACGAACGCAAAGTCCAGCTGGTCACAGACAAAGATCACTTCATCCGAACCCTCAGTCTGAAGCCGCTGCTGTTTGGTAAGTCTGTAGTACCGTCCTGAGACGGTGGGCGGGTGGGTGGGTGGGTGGCAGCAGTGCAGGGTGGTTCCTGTTCGGCAGCGTGCTTTCTGTTTTGAAAATGAACCCTCCCTCCCTTTTATCTATCCAGAGGGATTGTCCAAGTTGAAGTAGGGCTTCCTGTACCTTAATGGGGTGAAGGGATGACCTTTTTACTCCTCTCTCCAAACCCCCACCACCCCCTCAATACATCCTGGCAGCAGATTCTTCCATTACAAAGCTAGGCAATGTGGCCCTGAGAACATAGATATAGATATAGATATATAGATATATCTATATATATAGATATAGATATCTATCTGTCTGTCTATCTATTTTTCTGTCTCTTGTGGGGCTTGAACTCAGCCTGGGCACTGTCCCTGAGCTTTTCTGCTCAAGGTTAGTGCTCAACCACTTTGAGCCACAGCTCCATGTCCGGTTCTTTGGTGGTGGTTCCTAGAAGATGAGTCTTTCCTGCTGAAGCTGGCTTTCAACCCTAATTCTCAGATCTCAGCCTCCTGAGTAGCTAGGAATTATAGGTGTGAGCCACCAGCACCCTGCTAAACTTGATTTATTTTTTTAAGTTGTCTTTGAACATTTTCTACCCCTACTAATCCTGTTACCTAGAAGGAGGAGAGGGCTGGAGACTGATAACCAGCTGCCAGCTGGTCTCAGGGCCTCTGGGGAAATCATACTTCCAAAGTAGACTTTGGGATCTGATGACAAATGGGAGTGTGCCCTCAAGCCTACCTGAGAGCTTGACCATTTGCTCCCAGCACTCCATCATTCCAGAGCTTCTTTCTATTATCTATGGCTGGCAGAATTTGTTCAGGGTGACCTCATTTAGAGCCATATCATAGTTTCTGTTTTCTGAGATTTTTATTACATAATAGGCTTCCTGTGATTATTTCATTTGGGTGTGGGTGCTTGTGTGCACACAGGCACACACATGCGTGTACACCAATACTGGTGCTTAAACTCAGGGCCTGGGCACCGTCCCTGAGCTTTTTAAAAATTTTTATTTTTTTCTTCAAGGCTGACAGTCTACCACTTGAGCCATAGTTGTACTTGCAGCTTTTGGTGTGCATTGGAGATAAGAGACTCATGGACTTTTCTACCTGGGCTGGCTTCAAAGTAGGATCTTCAGATCTTAGCCGCCTGGGTAGCTAGGATGACAGGCATGAACCCCCAGCACCATGCTATTTCCATTCATTCCTAAAACACCCCTGTAATGTGGATGCAACTCACATTTTCTCTCGGACCAATGGGTAAAGTGAGGCAGCTAGAGTTGCAGTGGTTAGTTTAGTGATGAAATGGATTAAAACCCAATCAGGGGACCAGGGCATCTGGCTTAGTGGTAGAGTGCTAGCCTAGCATGCATGAAGCCCTGGGTTCCATTCCTCAGTACCACATACACAGAAAAAGCCAGCAGTGGTGCTGTGGCTCAAGTGGTAGAGTGCCAGCCTTGAGCAAAAGAAGCTCAGGGACAGTGTCCAGGCCCTGAGTTCAAGACGCAGGACTGGCAAAAACAAAAACTCATCAGGGGCTGTGGTGTGTGGCTTAGTGGTAGAGTGCTTGCCTAGCATGCATGAAGTCCTGGGTTCAATTCCTCAGTACTTTTGCTGCTGATTAACTGTAAAACCTATGTCAAGTACTGTTTTAGGTACTTGGAACACACCTTTGTTCACTACAGCCCAAACACTGACAAAGGAAGGGAAAGGCAACATGATAAACAAATAATTAACTCTCTGTGGTGTAGCCATGTTAGGAAGTGAGGCATAATTAATTGTAGGCAAGGCAGAATTTTACCTGAGGGGGTGGTGGTAAAACTCTTAATAGGTAAGTGGGGTGAGCCTTCCTGAGGAAAATATTTTAAACCAGGTGCTGGTGCATGGAGCTGGGAATGTGGCTTAGTGGTAGTGTTTGTCTAGCATGCATGAAGCCCTGGGTTTGATTCCTCAGTACCACATAAACAGAAAAGGCCAGAAGTGGTGCTGTGGCTCAAGTGGTTCACATCCCAGAACTGGCAAAAATAAATAAATAAATAAATGTGGTAGAGTGCTAACCTTGAGCAAAAGAGTTCAGGGACAGCACCCAGGCCTTGAGTTCAAGCCCCAAGACAGACCAAAAATAAATAAAGAGGGAGGAGGCAGAATGTAGCTTCTTCCTGCTCTGACCTAGAGCTCGACTCCAAACCTGTCAGACCCAAGATGCTACATCTCAACGTGGGGAAGAAAGCCCCAGATGTGAGCTATAGGAAGGGATACTAGGCTTTTCCTGGGCTTATTTGTGTCTCTGTCTCTAAAGGTCAGTCGCTTTTTCAGGTTGCTTTCATTGGTGCTGGTGGTGTGTCTATAGAGTTATGTCTCCTGATCATCATTGGCTCAATGGGCGGTCTGGGTGCTGTCTGTCTTCCTGTCTATAACCACCATTACCCCTTCTAACTCGGTACTCTCTCCAAAAGCAGCTGGGGCCCCTCTGCTGAGCCAGCACAAGTTTGAATCCATTTTCCTTAACTATTTAAGGTAAATGAGTCATTGCTACTGGTACCCAAATAGGATTTTGAGAGCTAATTTGTGTGTGTGTGTGTGTCTGTGTATGTGTCTGTGTATGTGTCTGTGTTGGATTTCTAGGCTTTGAACTATGGTCCTTGTGCTTGCTAAGCAGGTCCTCTACCACTTGAGCCATGCCCCCACTCCTTTTTTGCTTTAGTAATTTTTCAGGTAGGGTCTTCTGGTTTTTAACCAATACCTTGATGAATGTACACTGCTATGCCCAGCTTATGGGTATGGGGGGAGGTCTCACTATTTATTTATTGCCTGGCCTGGCCTTAATCCCCCTGATCTCCAGCTCCACAGTAGCTGGGATTATACTCGTGAGTCACCGTGCCTAGCCCAAAGGTATTCTTTTTCAGTTTAAGAAAAACAAACACCCAGCTGTATCAGATCTCTAGGCCCACAACAAACACAGGAGGCTCAGTGTAGAGAAAGTTCTAATGTGTATATCAGTGCAACGTTTGAGCAAATGAATGTCGTTTTCTGCATGGACTGCATCCTTTTTTTTTTTGTTTTGTTTTGTTTTTGGATCCGGTCGTGGGCATGAACTCTGGGCCTGAGCGCTGTCCCTCAGCTCTTCAGCTCAAAGCTAGCGCTCTACCACTTGAGCCACAGCACCACTTCTGGCTTTTTTCTTTTTGTGTATGTGGTGCTGAGGAATCGAACCCAGGGCCTTAGGCATGCAAGGCAAGTGCTCTGCCACTGAGCCAACTTCCCAGCCCATGGACTGCATCCTTAACACACACACACACACACACACCTGCCACTTCATGGGTAGCTGCTTGTCAGAGCCATCGACTCAATAAAGGACAAGCAGGTATGCATGGGTCTGTCTGAAGCTCAACCAGCTAAACCCTGCCCAAGGGGGGCATTGTTTGAAGCTGTTTGTTTACCCTGAGACTCGCTTTAGGGTATTGGAGCATATGAACATATGCAAGACAATGGCTAGGCTGTCATCACAGACTTGTAAAAGACATAAAGCAATAGTCTTTCCTGCCCAGTACACATAGTAGTCTAACCTGCCTTGCAGCCCTCCCCTCCCCTCCCCCCCCCCCCCTTACTCAGGAAGAGCTCTGAAGTACAGGACATATTCCTGCCATATTTGAATCTTGGGCCATTTTGGCTTGTGATCTTGCGCCTGTCATCCTAGCTACTCAGGAGGCTGAGATCTGAGGAGCAATATTCAAAGCCTTGCCAGGGCAAGAAAGTTCAAGAGACTCTTTTTTTGTTTTTGTGTGTGTTTTTTTTTTTAATAGTCCAGCAGCCTTTTATTTTTTTACATCTCTTAGACCATGAATTCATAGGGAATCGGTTCCAATAGCTCAGGCTCCTTTCAGTTGGTTCTCACAAAATGTGCTTCTCTGGGTGGAGCAGGCTGGTGCTTCTGTTGAACCCAGGTTCCTTTCTCTCTGGCTTCCTTCTTTTTCTGGTCATTTTCCTGCACTCGTTTCAGGAAGCTGTCTCGGCTCTTAAGAGTGTTTAATACGCTCACTACGCACATTAATCCTCTTGGCAAGGATCTTGCCCTTAACTTGATTGTTTACAACAAATGCCAACAGCATGCATGCTGGGTAACATTAGAGACCCTTCCAGTTTTGCCATGGTAACATTGGTAGGGCATTCCTTTTTGAACAATACCCATTCCCTTGATGTCTACAATATCGCCCTTCTTGTAGATTCTCATGTATGTGGCCAAAGGAACAACTCCATGTTTCCTGAAGGGCCTAGAGAACATGTATCGAGTACCTCTCCTCTTTCCCTTTGTGTTCGTTATTTTGGCAAATTACTGGAAGATGGTGGTTCTGGCCAAAAGGCTTAAGAGAAACTCATCTCCAGTGAACTGCCAGAAAACCAGAAGTGGTACTATGGCTCAAAGTGGTAGAGTGCTAGCTTTGAGACAGTGCCCAAGCCCTGACTTCAACTCCCACAACCAACAAGAAAAAAAAAGAAAAGAAAGGAAGAGGGGCTGGGAATGTGGCTTAGTGGTAGAGTGCTTGCTTAGCATGCATGAAGCCCTGGGTTTGATTCCTCAGTACCATACACAGACACACAGACACAGACAGACAGACAGATAGACAGACAGACACACACACACACACAGAGGAAGTGGTGCTGTGGCACAAGTGGTAGAGTGCTAGCCTTGAGTAAAAGAAGCGCAGAGACAATGCCCAGGCCCTGAGTTCAAGCCCCAGGACTGGCCAAAAGAAAAAAGAAAAAGACAGAGGAAGAGGGAGAGGGAAGGAGGGAGGAATGGAAGGGAAGGGAAGAAAGAAAAGCCCCAGCCCCTGTAGTTCTAGTTCTTGGCACTGGTGATGGGGTCACTTGTATTCAGCCAACTGTGGATTTCCATGGCCCTGGTACTAGGTACCAGCTGTATTGGATCAGGTGGCTTTGGGTGTACAGGAGAATGTACATACAGGGGACAAACAACTGCAGTCCAGCATCATAGAATGGATACCAATTCTGTGTGGGTGCTGTGATCTGGCTTTTAACATATCTCATCTGTGTGTGTGTGTGTGTGTGTAAGTGCGCGCACGCACATGCCTGCACCAGTGCTGAGAGTTTAAACTCCAGACCTTGTGCTCTTGTTTGGCTTTTTTTTGCTCAAGGATGGTGCTCTACCACTTGAGCCACAGCTTTACTTCTAGTTTTTTGCTGCTTCATTGGAGATAAGAGTCTCATGGAAGCTGGGAATGTGGCTTAGTGGTAGAGTACTTGCCTACCATGCATGAAGCATTGGGTTTGATTCCTCAGAACTACATAAACAGAAAAAGCCAGAAGAGGTGATGTGGCTGAAGTAATAGGGTGCTAGCCTTGAGCACAGAGAGGCTCAGGGATAATGCCCAGGCCCTGAGTTCAAGCCCCAGGACTTGTAAAACAAAGAAACAAAAACAAAGAGTCTCATGGACTTTCCTGCCCAGGCTGGCTTCGAACTATGATCCTCAGCTCTCAGCCTCTTGAGTAGTTAGCTAGATATGATCCACTGGTACCCAACTGAATTTTTTTTTTTTGGTCAGTCATGGGGCTTGAACTCTGAGCTTGGGCTCTGTCCCCGTGCTCTTCAGCCCAAGGTGAGGTGGTAGACCACCTGAGCCACAGCACCACTTCCAGTTTTCTAGTGGTTAATTGGAGATGAGTCTCAAGGACTTTCCTGCCCGGGCTGGCTTTGAACCATAATCCTCAGATCTCAGCCTCCTGAGTAGCTAGGATGACAGGCGTGAGCCACCGGTGCCCGGCTGTTTCACCTTAATGGTTTGAAAGGAGTAGGGTGGTGGTGAAGACCTATAAGGGATGTGCCAAGATTCACGTGGTTGACCAGGCGTAGCCATAACAGGCCATGCAGTTGGCCTGTATAGCTTCACACAGGTGCTGCCGAATGGGGTGGATGATGGAGGGGAGGTTGGGGGGGGGGGGGGAATGACTCTTTTCTGTGCTCTTAGCATTGCCTTGTGGCTTGGAATGCTTGGCAGTTGCTAGGCAACGACACTGGTCACCTAGCAACAGCCCTGCCACTAGCTTGGGCCGCCACATCTCATACTTAAGCCCTTCCTCTTTCCTCATCTCTCCTCTCTTCTCCCCAATCACGCAGGCTTCTTTCTAGCTTTCCAGTGCACATCACCCTCTCGGCTGCCTTCACCCCCCATCTCAAAGGGAGGGCCCTCTGGGGCCTGAAAAGCTTCCAGGACATTTCAGTCTCTGTCCAGGGCTGGCACAGGAGTACAGGAGCCTGGTCCTCAAGTCCTTTTTTTTTTTTTTTTTACCAGTCCTGGGGCTTGAACTCAGGACCTTGGCACTGTCCCTGACCTTCTTTTGCTCAAGGCTGCGCTCTACTCGTAGACCCACAGCAGCACGTCTGGCTTTTTCTGTGTCTATGCTACTAAGGAATGGAACCCAGGGCTTCATGCATGCTAGGCAAGCACTCTACCACTAAGCCACACCTCCAGCCCTGGTCCTTGAGTTCAGAAAGAGCTCATTACTGCTACAGATAGTCACCCACATGCTCTGGGATGGGCTGGCTCTGCCCAGGAACTGAGGGAATGCTGTTGACAGGGTAGGTTTGGCTGAGGGAGGGCCATGAGCCTTGTGGCTCAGCTCTGGGAGAAAAGGCCACTAGATGGGCCTCAGTTCTATCTCTTGACATCTCTTGAGCGGCTAGAGCTTCCACACCTGGCTGTTAAGATGGCTCTAGTCCTCAGCCTGAACTGGAGACTGAACAGACCAAGGGCCCATACCCACATGCTCACCATTGGTGGGTCCCCTGACTTTGGCACCTCTGTCCCATGGGCACCTGCATCCTTCTGCCAGGAATACTAATAAAACAACTCTTCAGCCAGGCACCAGAGCTCATGCCTATGATCCCAACTACTCAGGAGGCTGAGATCTGAGGATCCAGGCTTGAGGCCAGCAGAGGCAGGAAAGATCCATCCTCCCTCTCTCCCTCCCCCTCCCTCCCTTACCCCCCTCCCTCTCTTTCTTTCTTTCTTTCTTTCCTTTTCTTTTCTTTTCTTTCTTGGTCATGGGGCTTGAACTGAGGGCCTAGGCTGCTGTCCCAGAGCTCTTTTGTTCAAGGCTAACACACTACCACTCTGAGTCACAGCACCCCTTCCAGATGGTTCATTGGAGATAAGAGTCTCACAGACTTTCCTGCCCAGGCTGGCTTTGGACCAAGATCCTCAGCTCTCAGCCTCCTGAGTAGCTAGGATGACAGGCGTGAGCCACCAGCACTGGCTTAGCACACTCCCTTCACTACCTGTTTCTTCTGCCCTGGGTTTCACAAGGTAAGGTCCAGGGTTTTCTAGGAAAGGAGGTCTAACAGGTACCCATTGTAAGCTACTTAAACTGACTGGGCTTTTGTTTTTGTTTTTGTTTCCTGCCAGCCCTAGGGCTTGAAGTCAGGGCCTGAGCACTGTTGTCCCTGAACTTTTTTTGCTCAAGGCTAGCACCCTAGCTCCACTTTCAGTTTTTTGGTGCTTAATTGGAGATAAGAGTCTGGAGCCAGTGGCTCAAACCTGACATCCTAGCTACTCAGGAGGCTGAGATCTGAGGATCATGGTTCAAAGCCAGCCTCGGCAGGAAAGTCCATGAGACTCTTATCTCCATCTAACCACCAGAAAACCAGAAGTGGCGCTATGGCTCAAGTGGTAGAGCATTCCCCTTGAGCTGAAGAGCTGAGGGACAGCGCCCAGGCCCAGGGGTCAAGTCCCACCACCACCACCAACAACAACAAAAAAGAGTCTCACAGATTTTCCTGCCATGGTCCTCAGATCTCTGCTCCCTGAGTAGCTAGGATGACAGGTATGAGCCACTGGTACCTGGCTTGCTGACTGAGCTTTTGATCAGCACATGGGGGTCTGGGTGGGGAGGTGTAGAGAGCATTGAAGAGATGGCACCTAATACCTAATAAACTGGAAAAAACAAAACTGGGTCTGTGTTTGCTTTTCCTTTTCTGGGTTGCTTTTTTAAATGTTATGTACAAATATCGAAAGGTGACATTTGATACTGCTATCTCGCACGCTCGCTGGGTAAGTTTGAGGGTTGGAGGTACAGGCCCTTTGTCTCATTTTTAGTGTCAAAATATCTGGGACCATGTCACCTAGCTCCGGCAGCTGGGTCTGGTCACGTGCTTCAGTTCTGGGTACAACAGCCTGGGTGGCCCTAGGCAAATTACCAAACTTGCTTGTGTTGATGGATCCTCATGGATTGCCAAGGGGAGTGGAGATGCCCTTGGTCAGAATCTCTGCCATCCCAGAATGATCTGCTGTGATCAGGTTTTTTGTTTTGTTTTTGTCAGTTGTAGGGCCTGAACTCTGGGCCTGGGCGCTGTCCCTCAGCTCTTCAGCTCAAGGCTAGTGCTCTACCACTTGAGCCACAGCGCCACTTCCGACTTTTTGCTTATGTGGTACTGAGGAATCGAACCCAGGGTCTCAAGCATGCAAGGCAAGCGCTCTTCCACTGAGCCACCTTCCCAGCCCCAAGCTTTAAGCACTTCTTAACATTTGTATGAGAACATAGCCACAGTGAGATGATCAGCACCCAGTTATTCAGACACATGGAGGCCAAGGCCCTTGAACTGACCTACAGCTTTTGGTTCTTGTGCTTTGGTCTTGCCCGTAGTGGGGCTTGAACTCAGCCTTTCTCTTGTTCTCACTCAGCTTGTCCCTCATGGCTGGAATTCTACCACTTGAATCATACCCCTCCCACCCTTCTTTTTTTTTTTCCTTCTTTTTGTCAGTCTTGGGGCTTGAACTCAGGGCCCGGGCACTGTCCCTGAGCTTCTTTTTGCTCAAGTCACACCACCAGTTCTGGCTTTTTCTGTGTATGTGGTACTGAGGAATCGAACCCAGGGCTTCATGCATACTGGGCAAGCACTCTACCACTAAGCCACAGTCCCAGCCCCCAACCTTCATTTTAATTTGAATAATGCTAAAAGGCAAAAAAAAAAAAAAAAAGCTAGCAAGGGTCACCTACCATCTCTCCATTATAAACTTATATGCACGATAAGAAGAGGCAAGCCCGTCCTTTGGCCTTCAGTCCTGCTCCAAGCAGACTGAACTTGTTCCAGGAACTTTCTGAATAATGTAGATTGTCATCCCTACTTCTACACACTGGCCAACACTTGCAGGACAACTCAAGCAAGTCAGACTGCAGGGCAGAGCAAATGTGTTCTGGAAAGCCCTCCACACGCATGGCAGCTCTCACATCCCAAAAGTCCTGCAGGGATCCAGGAGAGAGGTGCTGTATGGACAGTGCTCTGATTCCATCCTCCGCCTCACCCACTCCTTCTTCTGCAGAAATCCCTGGCTTCTTGAGCGATGAGGAGTGTCGCCTCATCATCCACCTGGCCCAGATGAAGGGCTTACAGCGCAGCCAGATCCTACCCACTGAAGAGTATGAGGAGGCAATGAGCACTCTGCAGGTCAGCCAGCTGGACCTCTTCCGGTTGTTGGACCAGAACCACGATGGTCACCTGCAGCTCCGAGAGGTTGGGATCTTGGGCCCTCAGTAGGCACTGGGAGAGGGAGTACCTAGCTTTACCTCCCCATTGGTCACATCACTCAGTCAAGTTCACACCGCAGTCAGATGCCATTCTAGATCTATTTGCACAGGTTCAGGGTCATCCTGTTTTATTTTGGTTTGTTGGTGCCTATCCTGGGACTTGAACTCAGGGCCAGGGCACTGTCTCTGAGCTGCTTTTCCTCAAAGCACTTCCAGTTTTCTGAGTGGTTTACTGGAGATAAGAATTATCTGCCTGGGCGGGCTTTGAACCGTGATCCTCAGATCTCAGCTTCCTAAGTAGCTAGGATTACAGGCGTGAACCATCGATACCCAGCTTGAGCTTGGTCTTTCTGAAGGTCCTTATGGCCATGTCCTGGACAGGCCTCCCATTAGTACCTATTTTTTCTGGGATAGCCTGTCCCCCAAGCCTCACCTGAAGTGCATGGTCTGTCCACTCTCCCTTGAGCCAGAAACATTCCAATAGGGCTGGGACTGTGGATCGCCCTCAGGCCTCTTGTCCACCCTCTTTCTGGCCTTCACAGATAACCTCTGTTGAACCTCCTATCAGCCTAAGGGGCCTTGGGCTCTGCCCTGTCCCCACCTATGTCCCATCACTGAACGCTTGGCTCTCTGGCAAGAACTGAGCCATCTGTGCTCCGAGGCCTCCACCACTGGGCTCATCCCACTGAGGGACCGACCCTCTTGTGCTTTAGGTTCTGGCCCAGACTCGTCTGGGAAACGGATGGTGGATGACTCCGGAGAGCATTCAGGAGATGTACTCGGCAATCAAGGCTGATCCTGATGGTGATGGTGAGCTCACGCCCCTTCACACCTCTGACCCTGGGAGCCACACCTCCTATTCCCCTCTGGGAAGCTTGAGCCCTTACCCGAACAGTAGAGAACCTCACGCGCCCCTTTCCATAGTGGCCAGACACAGGAGGTGAGGGGGTGTTTTTTGCCCTGCACCTCCGGGACATAGGCAGTCAGCCAGCCCCTACCCAGGCTCCTTGGTGACAATCTAGGGGGGCAATTCCTGGAGACCTTTTGCCCTCCTTGGACAGAGGTGAATGAAACTAGATGGAAGAATTTGGCTTGTGGCCTGTGGTTAGGGGGCTGTCATACTGCCACCAAAACAGAGCTGCTGTCAGCTTTTGAATGCTGAGTAGCTCAGGAAGCTAGGTAGATGGTGAAACTTCCTGGCTGTCTCCTAGAACCCTCAAAGGTGGATCCCTTGCTTTGTTATAGGACCGGAGCATGAGTACTTCCTTGCTGGGGGTGGGGAGGCTCTAGGTAGGATTTATTTGCTAGGGTGGGCTGGCAACCCATCAGGAAGGACTGGCTAAGTGAGTTCCACTCATGAAGAGTCCCCCTAGGATGTAGCCCAACTTTCACTCTATACAGTGTGAAGGTCTTGGAAGGAGAGCCAGCACTCACTGCTCTCTCTTCCCTTACTCTCTACAGCTTAGGGGCGTGGCCACCACACTCTTAGAGCCTAGGGTCCTGGCCAGGTAGCTCCGCCTCCTTTTGGAGCCCCTTTTCTCACTTGCTCAGTAAGGGTTTGGGTTTCTTCCTTCTGGGGACCAAGTCAAGGCTTAAACAGAAAACAAACTTCTCTGGGTCTTCCCTTAGGGCCCGATGTGACAGAAACCAGGTTCATCTGACCCAAGAGTCCAGGTGGGGACAAGTGCACATGGCCCCCCAGTGCCTGAGGCCAGGGGCTGCTGCTGCCTTTGGGGTAGGTAGGGAGGTACTGCCTGCCGCTATGGTTTCCCTCCTTGGGCCTGACGGGCACTGATGACGCATGCTCTGTCCAGGAATGCTGAGTCTGCAGGAGTTTTCCAGTGTGGACCTTCGAGACTTCCACAAATACATGAGGAACCATAAAGCCGAGTCGAGTGAGCTGGTGCGAAACAGCCACCACACGTGGCTGTACCAGGGTGAGGGCGCCCACCACGTCATGCGCTCCATCCGCCAGAGGTGAGCACCCGCAGCTCTCTTCCCGGGGCAGGGCCTTCTGCAGAAGTCCTTTTAGTTACACATTCTAAAAAAAATTGAAGCCAGGTGCCAGTGGCTCTTGCCTAGAATTCCAGCCACTCAGGAGATCTGAGATCTGAGGATCTGAGCTGAGATCTGAGGGTCATGGTTTAAAGCCAATCCAGGTAGGAAAGGCCATGAGACTCTTAGCTCCAATGAACCACCGAAAAGCCAGAAATAGAGCTGTGGCTCCAAGTGGTAGAGTATACCAGCCTTGAGCGAAAAAGCTAAAGGACAGACCCCAGGCTCTAAGTTGAAGCCCCAGAATGGAAATACACAAAAATCACCCTGAGGGCTGGGAAGGTGGCTTAGTGGTAGAGTGCTTGCCTTGCATGCATGAAGCCCTGGGTTTGATTCCTCAGCACCATATACACAGAAAAAGCCAGAAGTGGCGCTGTGGCTCAAGTGGTAGAAGGCTAGCTCTGAGCAAAAAGAAGCCTAGGAACAGTGTCTAGGCCTTGAGTTCAAGCCCCAGGACTGGCAAAAAAAAAAAAAAATCACCTTGAGAGGAAGGCCTCACCTCTCCCTCCTCCTCCTCCCAGTTTAGTGGAAATCTCAGTTTATCCAATCCAGTGCTTCCCCCTATGCTTGGCATTCATGAGGAAGCCCATCTTCCCTGGGAGACTGAATGTCCACTGCTCACCAGGGTGCTGCGCCTCACTCGCTTATCACCAGAGATCGTGGAGCTCAGTGAGCCACTGCAGGTTGTGCGATACGGTGAGGGAGGCCACTACCATGCCCATGTGGACAGCGGGCCTGTGTACCCAGAGACCATCTGCTCCCATACCAAGCTGGTAGCCAATGAGTCTGTACCCTTCGAGACCTCCTGTCGGCAAGTACTTCCCACCAGGGGGCGGGCTTCCATTGCCAGGCAAGCGGGCGGGGCATAATCATTGGACCACTCTTAGTCAATGAGGTCCCTAATTCTCCCTCAAATCTCTGCTGAGGGACTGCTAGCCATTCGTCTCAAGGCAGTGTAGATGGAGATACTTGCACTGAAATGAGGCCTCCAGCCAGGCCTTCAGATCTTTTGCCACCCTTCCCCCAAGATTTGATCTTCACTCCATTGCCAGAATTCTCAGCCTCCTCTCTCCGAAAGTTAAGCATCTCCTTTGCATCTAGCTGTTTCGGCTCAGCCCCCTTCTTGTTCCCCAGGAAACCTTTTGCATAATCTTGCTGATTGTCCAAGCCTACCTCTCCCAGCCTAGGCTTTGGTCAGTAATTTAGCTAAGTATGATCATAAGACAAAAATCAAGCCATCAAATAAACCAACAAAATACACACACACACACACACACACACACACACACACAGAGACAGGATTAGTGGGAAGGAGGGTTTAGGGGAACACTGGACAATAGTCTACCGCATTGTCAGTCATCTTAACCCTCTGGTCCCTGGAAACCTGGGCATTTTATGTTGCCTACAAGTAAGCCCCTGGAAACAGCCAACAGTTGGGGACCTGCTCAGCAGATCCCCTGTCTTACAGCTACATGACCGTGCTGTTTTATTTGAATAACGTCACCGGTGGGGGCGAGACTGTCTTCCCAGTAGCAGACAACAGAACCTACGATGAAATGGTAAGGGCCAACTCTTCCTCTTGTGGGCTGGCAGGGCCCTGGGCGAGTGTAGGGTATCCACCTCTTCCACACCTGGGAGGAGGACCCAAGTGGTCCCCTGGGCCGGTCTAGCTGTTTTCCCTCAGGAGGCCTTGGCTGCCTTGGCCACACGATGAGAAGGGAGGCTTTGAAACACTCCATCCACTTTCCCACAGAGTCTAATTCAGGATAACGTTGATCTCCGGGACACTCGGAGGCACTGTGACAAGGGGAATCTGCGTGTCAAGCCCCGGCAGGGAACGGCAGTCTTCTGGTACAACTACCTGCCTGATGGGCAAGGTGAGGGCCATGGCCAGGCCAACAGGTTTCCCTTACCCATCCCCCCCCTGCCATTTTGGAGGGCTGTTTCTCAATGCCCTCCCAGATGGGCTTCTTGACCTTGGTGCCTTTCCAAACAACATCCTTTTAGTGATTTCAGTAAGCTACCCCAGCACCTGTGCAACCTCTTGGGTTAGCTTGGCCCTTGCCACTCTGATGCCTTCATGTTCCTGCTTTGGGGGGGCATACCTATCTCTCACCAGCCAAGGCTGGTTTCACAGGGCCAGTGATGCTGATCATATTAGTGAACCAAATGATGGGCCCTCAAGGAAGCCTTAAGCTTAGACATGGGCTCCCCAAGACATGAATAGGTCACCGTTGGGCCTCCACTTTGTCCCATTCCCCCCCCCCCCCCCCCCCCGTTTGTCTAAGGGCCGAGTTCACGCATGCCCACATCCAGCCTGCTAGGGGGTCCCTTCTCAACCTTGTCCCTTGTCCCCACCGCCCTCCTTTAGGTTGGGTGGGTGACGTGGACGACTACTCGTTGCACGGGGGCTGCCTGGTAACACGAGGCACCAAATGGATCGCCAACAACTGGATCAACGTGGATCCCAGCCGGGCACGGCAAGCCCTGTTCCAGCAAGAGATGGCGCGCCTGGCCCGCGAAGGGGGCGGCGACTCGCAGCCAGAGTGGGCCCTGGACCGGGCCTACCGCGATGCACGCGTGGAGCTTTAAGGGAGGGGGGCGACGTGGAGGCCCGCTGTACCCCACCCCCTGCGGATGTCCCGCCCCGCCCCGCCGCCACCGCGGGCACCCCCTAGATTCCTTGGTATTTATGGCGTCCAGACCCCACCCCCACGCTACCCGGGCAAATAAAAACCACCAGGCTGGGCGACCGGTCACCGGGCAGACAATACCGCGGCGCCGGCGGGGGGCGGGAGACCCCGCGGGGATGCGCGGCCCGGGCTTCGAGCGCTCCGCCGGAGTCACGTGAGGGAGAGGAGGGGGCGAAGCCCCGCCCCCCGCCTCTTCGCGGGCTCAGCCAATCAGGGGCCGGATTGCGTGGGGCGCAGGGTCGTCATTGGACGACCACAGCCCGGCCGCCGGGGCTTCGGCTACCTGTAGCTGAGGGAGCCGGCGGGTCGTCGGCCGGGCGGGCGCGCGCGGAGGGCTCGTTCTCGCGAGAGCGCAGCTGCCTGGCTCGGAGGTGCAGCCGCGGCGGCGGAGAGAGGAGCCGTCATGGACGCCGTGGAGGACTGTGTGTGGCCCAGGGCCACGTCGGAGCTCATCCTCCTGCCGGTCACGGGCCTGGAGTGCGTGGGGGACCGGCTGCTGGCGGGTGAGGCTCCTGCTGCAAGCGGGTGGGCGAAGAAAAGTAATCTCCCGCCCGGGGCGGGGCTCGCGGGGACAAAGGGCCGCGCGGGGCGGGGACGGGGTCTGCGGGGACCCGGGGACGGGGGTGTGCGGGGACCCGGGGACGGGGGTGTGCGGGGACCCGGGGACGGGGGTGTGCGGGGACGGGGGTGTGCGGGGACGGGCCGCAGGGGCCCGGGGACGGGGGTGTGCGGGGACGGGAGTGTGCGGGGACGGGGTGTGCGGGGCGAGGACGGGGGTGTGCGGGGACGGGGGTGTGCGGGGAGGGCCGCAGGGGCCCGGGGACGGGGGTGTGCGGGGACGGGGGTGTGCGGGGACGGGGGTGTGCGGGGACGGGGGTGTGCGGGGAGGGCCGCAGGGGCCCGGGGACGGGAGTGTGCGGGGACGGGGTGTGCGGGGCGAGGACGGGGGTGTGCGGGCACGCGGGTGTGCGGGGACGCGGGTGTGCGGGGCGAGGATGGGGGTGTGCGGGGACGGGGTGTGCGGGGCGAGGATGGGGGTGTGCGGGGACGGGGGTGTGCGGGGACGGGGTGTGCGGGGCGAGGACGGGGTGTGCGGGGCGAGGACGGGGGTGTGCGGGGACGCGGGTGTGCGGGGACGCGGGTGTGCGGGGACGCGGGTGTGCGGGGACGCGGGTGTGCGGGGACGGGGGGTGTGCGGGGAGGGCGCGCAGGGGCCCGGGGACGGGGCTGTGCGGGGTCGGGGGGGTGTGCGGGGAAGGCCGCAGGGGGACGCGAGTGTGAGGGGACGCGGGTGTGCGGGGAGGGCGCGCAGGGGCCCGGGGGCGCGGGTGTGCGGGGCGAGGACGCGGGTGTGTGGGGAGGGCGCGCAGGGGCCCGGGAAATGGCGGGAACGGGGGGGCGGACCCGAGGGAGACGGGGCTCGAGAGACAAAGGGCCGCCGCGGCAGCGTTCGGGGGAAGAGGGGTGTGTGTGCCCCCCCCCCCGCTCCACCCCACCCCGCAAGGAAGCTTGGGAGGGCGGGGGGGGGGGGGAGGACAGAACGGGGTGACCCGAGCGGGTGTGGCCGGGGTGCGTGGCCCACACCTGTAACCCGTGCCCAGGAGGAGCTTATTAGTTCCAGACTAACCTGGAAACAGAAAGTGGGGGGGGGGGGTGAGCACGAGCGGTGGGGGCTGTTAAGGTCCCTGGGGGAGATGTAGGGGGTGTCACCCCAAATTGTGCGTTAGACTTCTCTGAGTAGGACAGTGCCCCTCCCTCAAATGGGAGGGTTAAGCCCCTCCCCCTTCTAAGCACGGGGGGGGGGCGGGGGGGGGGGGGGAAGCGCAGTATATCTGGCTGCAAAAGACCAACCTGCAGCTGTCAGAGCTGGGAAGCAAGCAGTAAGGCCTGAGTCGAAGCCACTAGTAACCCAGGCTGCTGCTGTGAAGCTGGTAAGGGTCCCAAGGCCTTGAATTATTTTGGAGAAAAAGAGGGAAATCCTGTGGAGATGCTAGATTGTTTTAACTCTTGATCTGCCTTTATACCTAACATCATCAAGAAACACCCATTCCGCATTTTATTATTTTATTTATTTATTTGTCAGTCGTGGGGCTTGAACTCTGGGCCTGGGCGCTGTCCCTCAGCTCTTCAGCTCAAGGCGAGGGCTCTACCACTTGAGACCCAGGGCCACTTCCAGTTTTCTGAGTGGTTTGTTGGAGATAAGAGTCACACGGACTTTCCTTCCCTGGTTGGCTTTGAACTGTGATCCTCAGATCTCAGCCTCCTGAATAGCTAGGATGACAGGCGTGAGCAAGTAGCGCTCGGCTTTTTTTTTTTTTTTTTTTTATGTTGCTGGAGTTCAAACTCAAGGCCTCTTGTGCTAGGCAAACCTGGTCTCTACCATGGAGCTCCATTTCCCAGGATCCTCCTATTCCCCCTCATATGGTAATTTGGCTCCAGGCCTCTGCTTGTTCAACAGGTACCCTTACCATTTGAGCCATGCCTCCAAGCCCATCTTTTTGCTGGTTATTTTATAGGCAAGAGTGTAGTGAATTTTTCTCCCCGGGTGTCCTTGAACAGCCATCTTCCATATCTCAGCCTCTTGAGTAGTGTAACAGGTGTGAGCCACTGGCACCCAGCTAGGCTTTTGTGTGTGTGTATGTGTGTGTGTGTTTCGCATGTGTGCAAAAAAATACTGGGGCTTGAACTCAGTTCCTCATGCTCTTGCTTGCTTTTTTTTTTTTTTTTTTTGCTATTTCTCTCTCTCCTCTTTTTTTTAAAAGAGAAACTCCTCCTCCTCCCCCCCCCTCCCCCTCCAAATGGTTGCTTCTTTCATTTTAAAAATCAGGACTAGTACTGGCAGTATAGCTCTGTGGTAGAGTGCTTGCCTAACATGTGCAAAGTCCTGGATTTCATTTCCAGCACTTGCAGTAAAGCTGAGGTGGTCGCTTCACTCCCAAACCTGAGGGCCTGAGTTCCATCCCAAGCAATGCAAAAGAATGGCTGACCCCGGCTCATTGAGTCAAACAGGACTCCGCATTCCCCCAGATTTTGGCTTCTTTCCTATTTGTGTTTTGTCTTGGCTCCATTTTCAGCAATCTGGCACCATATAAGGGTCTAACCTCGTGAAGTACAGGCAAGAGAGCACTCCAAGTGAATTTATCCCTCCTTGTAGAAGTACAGATGTTTTCTTTCAACTTTTCCTCCCCTGTTCCTCTGCGCTGGGGATCTAGCCAACTCCTAGGGCTTCATGTAGCACACGCTGTGCTACTGAACTACAACTGCAACCCATAACTACAGTTCCTAAGTCCCATCCGTGTGCACCCCTTATCTGAATTCCCAGCCCTGTTTTCTCCTGCGTTCCAAGCCCTTTCTCTGGCTTATTGCTTGTGTCTGTGGGGGGAGGGGTGTGGAGGAGGGGGGACTTGAAACCTGGGCCTAATGAATCCTAAGAATAAGTTGTGATTTTTATTTATTTATTTTTGAGATAGTCTTACCATGTAGTCCTGGGTAGCCTCCAACTCTTGATTTTCCTATCTTGGCCTCCTGAGTAGTTAAAATTATAGAGATTCACCAGCATATCTGACTCATTTTACTTATTATTTATTTGTATCCAGATGCTGGTGGTTTAAGCCTGTACTCCTTGTTACTCAGCAGGCTGAGATCTGAGCCAGCCCAGACATACATTTGCAAGATTCTGTATATCTGATTAACCAGCAAAAATCAGGGAGTGGAGGTGTGAATCAAGTGGTAGAGTGCTAGAGCCATGATAAAAGCTGAGTGAGAGTATGAGGCCAGCTGGGAAGGTGGCTCAGTGGTAGAGCACTTGCCTTGCATGCTCAAGGCCCTGGGTTCGATTCCTCAGCACCACATAAGCAAAAAGAAAAAAGCCGGAAGTGGCGCTGTAGCTCAAGTGGTAGAGGGCTAGCTTTGAGCTGAAGAGCTGAGGGACAGTGCCCAGGCCCAGAGTTCAGGCCCCACGACCGGACCCCCCCCCCCCAAAAAAAAAGAGATTTTTGGGCTGGGAAGGTGGCTCAGTGGTAGAGTGCTTGTCTTGCATGCATGAGGCCCTGGGTTCGATTCCTCAGCACCACATAAGCACAAAGAGAGTATGAGGCCAGGAAGTGGCGCTGTGGCTCAAGCGGTAGAGCACTCACCTTGAGCTGAAGAGCTGAGAGACAGCGTCCAAGCCCAGAGTTCAAGCCCCACGACCTACCAAAAAAAAAAAAAAAAGTATGAGGCCATGAATTCAAACCCTAGTAACCCCTACATCCCCCCTCCCAAAACAACAACAACAACCAGTTATTTCCTGGAAGTTACCAAAATTATAATGATGCAGTTCATTTGTGTGATTAAAAAAACGAGACCAATTGTTGAGTCTGGGCCTTATGACTTACACCAGTAATTCCAGCTACTTGTTAGGGGAAAATAGAGAATTTAGTTTGAATTAGTCAGGACAAAAAACAAAACAAAAACAAAAATTAGGCAGATTTTCATCTCAGCAAACAGATCAGACAGACAGCTATAAATGAGGCAAGGTATGGGCTGGGAAGGTGGCTCAGTGGTAGAGCACTTGCCTTGCATGCCTGAGGCCCTGGGTTTGATTCCTCAGCACCACATAAGCAAAAAGAAAAAAGCCGGAAGTGGTGCTGTGGCTCAAGTGGTAGAGTGCTAGCCTTGAGCTGAAGAGCTGAGGGACAGTGCCCAGGCTCAGAGTTCAGGCCCCACGACTGGACCAAAAAATAAATAAATAAATAAATAAATAAATAAATAAATGAGGCAAGGGAGGATTTTAATCTCAGGCTGTCCCCAAACTCCCCCCCCCCAAAAAAAAAAAAAAAAAACCAAGAAAGAACCTATCTGAAAAATAACCTAAGCTGGGTGTTAGTGGCTCACACCTGTAATCCTAAATACTCAGGAGGCTGAGATCTGAGGATGGAAGTTTGAAGCCAGCCCAATTAGGAAAGCTTATTTCCGATTAACCACCAGAAAACTGGAAGTAGAGCTGTGGCTCAAAAGTGCTAGAGATGGGGAGGGGAAACAAAGGAGGAGGCAACAGTGCTTGATAAGAAATGTACTCACTATCTTGCCCATGTAATTGTAACCACTCTGTATATTATTTTCACAATTAAAAAGTGGTAGAGTGCTAGCCTTGAGCAGAAAAGCTCAGGGACGGTGTCTAGGTCCTGAGTTCAAGACCCATGACCTACAAAAAGAGAAAGAAAGAGAGAAAGAAAGACAGACTAAAACACCTTGAGATTTGTTTCAAATGATAAGAGTACCTGCCTAGCAAGCACAGGATCCTAAGTTCAAGCCCCATTATCACCAAAAGAAATGCCCCAAAGAGTGATGGATGAGATCTGAACTCTTGAGAGGTAGAGGTAGAAAGCTGGGAGAGTTCAAGGCTAGCCTGGGATAGCAGAACTGTGTCAATAAGACAAAAAGCTGTCAAACCCGGATTAATGAGGGGAGCGACCATTGCCCTAGAAGCCCAGCTGAAGGGCTGGGAAGGTGGCTCAGTGGTAGAGCGCTTGCCTTGCATGCATGAGGCCCTGGGTTCGATTCCTCAGCACCACATAAGCAGAAAAAAGCCGGAAGTGGCACTGTGGCTCAAGTGGTAGAGCGCTAGCCTTGAGCTGAAGAGCTGAGGGACAGCGCCCAGGCCCAGAGTTCAGGCCTCAGGACTGGACCAAGAAAAAAAAGTCCAGCTGAAGCTAAGCTTCGTGATTTACCAAGATGGGTGTATCCTTGGGGTGCATGCTGCGATGTTCCCCCCCACTCCCCCTCCTCTCCCGGAGCCATCCTCAGGTGAGTGATTCTGGCGTGGCTCTCCGCCTCTGTCTAGGCGAGGGGCCTGATGTGCTGGTGTACAGCCTGGACTTCGGCGGGCACCTGCGGATGATGAAGCGAGTGCAGAACCTGCTGGGCCACTATCTGATCCACGGCTTCCGGGTGCGGCCGGAGCCCAAAGGAGACACTGACTCGGAGGCCATGATCGCCGTGTTTGGGAGCAAGGGGCTCCGCATCGTGAAGCTCAGCTGGGGTGAGAGCCGCTTCCGGGAGCTCTGGCGCTCGGGCTTGTGGACCATGTCCGACTGGATCTGGGACGTCCGCTGGCTCGAAGGCAACGTGGCCTTGGCGCTGGGCCACAACTCCGTGGTGCTCTACGACCCTGTGATAGGATGCATGCTCCAGGATGTGGCCTGCACCGACAGGTGCACGCTGTCGTCAGCCTGCCTGATCGGGGACACCTGGATGGAGCTGACCATTGTGGCCGGGGCCGTCTCCAACCAGCTCCTGGTGTGGTACCCCGCCACCGCCCTCACGGATGACAAGCCAGTGGCTCCCGACCGGCGGGTGAGCGGCCACGTCGGGGTGATCTTCAGCATGTCCTACTTGCAAAGCAAGGGCCTGCTGGCCACGGCCTCGGAAGACCGCAGCGTCCGGATCTGGAAGGTGGGTGACCTGCGCGTGCCCGGGGGGCGGGTGCAGAACATCGGCCACTGCTTCGGCCACAGCGCGCGCGTGTGGCAAGTCAGGCTCTTGGAGAATTACCTCATCAGCGCCGGGGAGGACTGTGTGTGCTTGGTGTGGAGCCACGAAGGGGAGATCCTCCAGGCCTTTCGGGGCCACCAGGGCCGCGGCATCCGAGCCGTCGCTGCGCACGAGAGGCAGGCGTGGGTCATCACCGGGGGCGACGACTCCGGCATCCGCCTCTGGCACCTGGTGGGGCGCGGGTACCCAGGCCTGGGCGTCTCGGCGCTCTCCTTCAAGTCTCCCAGCAGGCCGGGCGTCCTCAAAGCCGTCACCCTGGCCGGCTCCTGGCGACTGCTGGCCGTGACTGACCAAGGAGCCCTGTATCTCTACGACCTGGAGGTCAAGTGCTGGGAGCAGCTGCTGGAGGATCCCAACTTCCAGTCTTACTGCCTCCTGGAGGCGGCGCCCGGGCCCGAGGGCTTCGGCCTGTGCGCCATGGCCAATGGGGAGGGCCGCGTCAAGGTGGTCCCCATCAACACCCCGACCGCCGCCGTGGACCGGACCCTGTTCCGCGGGAAGGTCCACAGCCTGAGCTGGGCCCTCCGAGGCTACGAGGAGCTGCTGCTGCTGGCCTCGGGCCCCGGCGGGGCGGTGGCCTGCCTGGAGATCTCCGCCGCGCCGTCGGGCAAGACCATCTACGTCAAGGAGCGCTGCCGGTACCAGCTGCCCCCGAGCAAGCAGCGCTGGCACACGTGCAGCGCCTTCCTGCCGCCCGGGGACTTCCTGGTGTGCGGGGACCGCCGGGGCTCCGTGCTGCTGTTCCCCGCGCGGCCGGGGCTGCCCCAGGACCCGCGGGGGGGGCGGCGGGGCCGGGCCCGGGGCGCCGGGCGCCGGCGGCCAGCACGCGGCGGCTGGGTACGGCCCCGTGTCCACGCTGCACTCGCTGCACGGGAAGCAGGGGGTGACCTCGGTCACCTGCCACGGCGGCTACGTGTACACCACGGGCCGCGATGGCGCCTACTACCAGCTGTTCGTGCAGGGCGGCAAGCTGCAGCCCGTGCTGCGGCAGAAGTCGTGCCGGGGCATGAACTGGGTGGCGGGGCTGCGCATGGTGTCGGACGGCAGCACGGTCGTCCTGGGCTTCCACGCCAACGAGTTCGTGGTGTGGAGCCCGCGGTCGCACGAGAAGCTGCACATCATCAACTGCGGCGGCGGCCACCGCTCCTGGGCCTTCTCCGACACCGAGGCGGCCATGGCCTTCGCCTACCTCAAGGACGGGGACGTGATGCTGTACCGGGCGCTGGGCGGCTGCACGCGGCCCCACGTGATCCTGCGCGAGGGCCTGCACGGCCGGGAGATCACGTGCGTCCGGCGGGTGGGCACCGTCACCCTGGGGCCCGAGTTCGAGGTGCCCGGCCTGGAGCCGCCAGACGACCTGGAGCCGGGGCGCGAGGGGCCCGGCCCCATCGACATCGTGGTCACCTGCAGCGAGGACACCACCGTCTGCGTGCTGGCGCTGCCCACCACCACCGGCTCCGCGCACGCGCTCACGTCCGTCTGCAACCACATCTCCTCGGTGCGCGCGCTGGCCGTGTGGGGCCTGGGCACCCCGGGCGGCGCCGGCCGCGCCCGGCCCGGGCTCACCGCCCACGTGGTGTCGGCGGGGGGCCGCGCGGAGATGCACTGCTTCAGCATCATGGTCACCCCCGACCCCAGCACCCCGAGCCGCCTGGCCTGCCACGTCATGCACCTCTCCTCCCACCGGCTGGACGAGTACTGGGACCGGCAGCGCAACCGCCATCGGATGATCAAGGTGGACCCTGAGACCAGGTACTGTGCGTGCGTGCGCGGGCTCCCAGGCTGCCCTGCGCGGTGGGGTGGGGGTGGGGGCAAGCCCGCCCACCCCGCGGCCGTGCGCCCCCTTCCTCCAGGTACATGTCCCTGGCCATCTGTGAAGTCGATAAGCCTGGCATGGGGCCGCTCGTGGCCGCGGCTTGCAGCGACGGGGCGGTGAGGTGAGCGCGGATCCCGGCAGGCGGGAGGGAGTGTGGGGGGCACAGGGGGGCTCTGATCCGGGGCTCTGACACACCCCCCCCTCCCCGCCCCCAGGCTCTTCCTCCTGCAGGACTCTGGGCGAATTCTGCAGCTCCTGGCTGAAACATTCCACCATAAGCGATGCGTCCTCAAGGTCCACTCGTTCACGCACGAGGCGCCAGACCAGCGGCGGTGAGCCGTGGGCGGCAGCCCGGCCGGCCTGGGAGGGGTTGGTTCATGCCCCGCGGGGACCCCCCCCCCCCTCCACGTCCCTTTCACTAACGCAGCTGCCCATCCCTGGCTTCCAGGCGGCTGCTCCTGTGCAGCGCAGCCACCGATGGCGGCCTGGCCTTCTGGGACCTCACCACCGTGCTGGAGCCCCAGGGGCAGCCGGCCCTGCCCTTCGGTGAGTGGTCCTGCCCCGCCCTCAGCCCCGCCCTCCTATCCAGTGAGTGGTCTAGCCCTGCCCCAAGCCCCGCCCCCTAGAGCGGTCCTGCCCCGCCCTCAGCCCCACCCTCCTATCCAGTGAGTGGTCTAGCCCTGCCCCAAGCCCCGCCCTCCCATATGGTGATTAGTGATACGGTCCCGCCCCCTCCCTGCCCTGCCCTGCCCTCCATCCTCACTGCAGCATTCTCTCCTAGACCTTGGCCCACCCTGCCTCACTGTCCAGGCCCACAGCAGCGGGGTCAACAGCCTGCACACACTGCCCACGCCCGACGGTCGCCATCTCGTGGCCAGTGGCAGTGAGGATGGGTCTCTCCACATCTTTGTGCTTGCTGTGGAGATGCCAGAGCAGGGGGAGACTGAGACCAAGGACGAGGCCCAGCCGGTGCCCCGGCTGCGCGCCCTGGAGGAGTACTCGGTCCCTTGTGCGCATGCGGCCCACGTGACTGGCCTTAAGCTCCTAAGCCCCAGCCTCATGGTCTCAGCCTCCATCGACCAGCGGCTGACCTTCTGGCGGCTAGGACACGGCGAGCCCACCTTCATGAACAGCGCTGTGTACCACGTGCCAGACGTGGCGGACATGGACTGCTGGCTTGTGAGCCCCGAGTTTGGTCACCGCTGTGCTCTTGGGGGCCAGGGGCTCGAGGTGTACAACTGGTATGACTGAGGCAAGTGGGGCGCCTGCCCGCTGGGCAAGGGGTCTTGCAGGACGGCGGAAGTGGGGATCGCCTGTCTGTGCCCATGCCCAGCACACCTCCAGGAAGAGGAGGTGGCAGCCGCAGGTTCGAGTCCAGAGCTGGAGTTAAAGGTGAGTGGAGTGCTGCCTGGATGGAATCCCCCAACTTCCCAGACCAGGACAAGAGTCTGGAACGGAAACAGTTTATTTTGGCCCAAGCTCCTTAACATCTGTGACTTTTAGTTTTGGTTTCCCCGGTGGAACTGTGAATACCCCCAGCTGTTGGGGTGCTCCTGCGGCCTCAGATGTGGGTGAGCGGAGGGAGGCCCAGCATAGCCAGGCCTGCGTGCAGCACCTCCCGCACCGCCCTCAGCAGCTGTAGGCGAGCAAACATCTGACCAAAGAGGTGTGGCCGAGGCTCCTAGAGAAGGGAACCGGTGGTCTCATCCTCTGCTTGTCTCCCTTGCCTTCCCCGAACCCCCACACACTCCCTCTTCCTGTGTGCTCACCCCTAGGACGTGTACCCTGTTGTAGTAGGAACTGAAGTCCATGCTCAGCTGGACCAGGAACTTGCACACCTAGAGACAGAACCCGAGTCACTGCTCTGTGTTTTGCTTTTGTGTCCCAGTCCCGCAATAAAGCCTTGTGTGTGGAGTGTCCGGTCTCGCGTGTCTCACCAGCTCTGTGCGCGCAGTGACGTGCAGCCCCGGGGCTGCGCACGTCAGGGCTGCAGCCTGGCTCAGCAGGTCGGCGAAGGGCAGGACACCATTGAAGAGCAGCAGCCACTCACCCTGTGGGGAACAAGGGTGCTGGGAGAGAAAAGCCGAGCCTGTCGTTGGTCCCTAGCTCACTTCAAAGGGCGCTTACCTCGTCGTGTAGCAATGAGAAGTCCAGGCTGCTCACTGGTGGGAAAGGGGGATACAGGCCTTGCTCTACACTGCGCTCATACCCCTCAAAAAGTGTGGCAAGTCGGGCACAGTTGTACATGACAAAGACGCCGCTCTTCGTGCTCTTTGTGGAGGTGCTGCTGTCAGCCAGGAGGAGCTGGGGAGTGGGGACGAACACAAGCTGCAGAAATGGTCATCAACGGGCTGGGAAGGTGGCTCAGTGGTACAGCGCTTTGCCTCGCAAGCATGAGGCCCTGGGTTCGATTCCTCAGCACCACATAAGCAAAAAAAAGCCGGAAGTCGGTGCTGTGGCTCAAGTGGTAGAGCGCTAGCTAGCCTGGAGCTGAGGGACAGACAGCGCCCAGACCCAGAGAGTTCAAGGCCCACAACCAGCAAAAACAACAACAAAGAAATGGTCATCAACACAGATGTCCTCCACTAGCCACCAGGCTTACCTGACTCTGAGGGCCTGTGCTTAGCATCTCAAACTTGATTGTGGCAGCACACAGAACCCCGAAGACCTCTGTCCAGTTTGGGTCTGGAAGAGTAGCGAGATTTGGTCAGTCAGTCTGCAGATGAACAAGGACAGACAACAAATGACCTGCTCCTACCCCAGGGCTCAGCCAGGGTCTCTAGGGCCCCACCTTTGGTCACATCCCCACCGTGCTTCATTGCTGAGGCCTTGCACACCTGCGCATGCCGGAGCCTGTATTTTGAAGACGGGAGAGGTGGTAGACAGCATCCTAGTAAGAAACAAACCCTTCCCCCCCTCACCTCCCCCCCAACTCAGGGTAGCTTTTTTTTTTTTTGGGGGGGGGGGGGGGTGTCCAGTCGTGGGCCTGAACTCTGGGCCTGGGCGCTGTCCCTCAGCTCTTCAGCTCAAGGCTAGCGCTCTACCACTTGAGTCACAGCACCACTTTCGGCTTTTTTCTTTTTGCTTATGGGGTGCTGAGGAATCGAACCCAGGGCCTCAGGCATAGCAAGACAAGCGCTCTACCACTGAGCCACCTTCCCAGCCCCTTCAGGGGAGCTTTTTTTTCCTGGCCTTACTTATAGTACTCAGAGGCAGTCATCTGATTGTCAGGTGCACCTGCTACTTTCACTGGGCCACAGACCAGGTGTTTCTGTGGAAAGATGACACAGGCTTAGCTTGGCTGAGCACAAGTCTGACTCCTCCCACCTGTAACCACCACAATGCACAGGCCTGCTCAATAACTCAAGCTCTGCTAAAGTCAACTACCAGGCCTATGAACTCAGGGGGCCCCCATGTCTAGCATTGCCCCCCCCCCCCAATTCCACTAACCCAATAATTCACTAAATCCACTAACCCACCTGGGTGACGGGCGCCTGCTCATCCAACTTCCACCAGAGTAGGTCCAACTTTTGTTGCTGGAACTCCTCCTCACAGCTCACCACGTGGATGGCCACGCAGCCATCCTCAGCCCCAGCCACGGGAGCCCCAGCCTTCTGAGGGAAGAGGAGAGTTTACTCCCAAGGTGTATGACACCCGGTTCTCCAGAGGCCTCTGGTCTTGGGAGCCACTGACCGCATCTGGGGAGCAGCCCTCTGGCCAATGGCGCACAGCCTCCTGCAGCTCAGACAGCACGGCTAGCAGATCCTCCGTGACTGCAAGAACAGACGGGTGCTGAGACTGGCCAGGATTGCAGAGGGTCCCCCCCCCCTTTTTTTTTTTTTTTTTCTTTTTAAGGGCCAGCAGGGCTTCAGATCCTACCCAGACAGTTGTCCACGTGAGGATCATAGCCGGCTCTGTGGCCTGGCTCGTTCGCCACATCCTTTAGGGACAGTCGTCCCAAGGCGCCGCGGGGCAGGGGCTCCCCGTCCTGAGCGGGATCGAGCTGGGCAAGCAGGCGACTCAAGGTGGGGATGGAGGAGGCAGTCTCCGGGGCAGTGGGCCAGTCAACCTTTAGTTTCTCTAGAAAGTTCTGCATGTGCGGGTCCCGCAGGGCGGGCGCCAGGCGCACGCAGACCCTGCGACACAAGGGCAGCGCTCCCAGTTTTGCACCCCGGAGGCGGGGCACCGCGACGCCCCTCCCTGTGACCCGCACTTACCCCTGGGCGCGCAGCGCGCGCGCGAGGTGATCGGCCACGAGCACGGCGCGCAGCTGGCTCAGGCGGAGCGCCGCGGGGCCGCGCAGCGCCGGGCAGTGCAGCAGGACGCGCGCGCGCGTGCGCGGCGCGGCGGGCGCGGCGTAGGCGGCCACGGCGCCCAGCACGCGCCCGAACACCGCGGGCCTCTGCAGCCGCAGCGACAAGCCCGCGGGCGTCGGCTCGCAGCGCAGCACCGGCGCCACGCCGGGGCCCTGCACACCGGCGACCGCGTGGAACACGCGCTCGGGCACCTGCGGACAGGCGCGCGTGAGGCCCGGCCGCGGGGCAGCGCGCCCAGGCCCCGCCCCCCGCCCCGCGCGCGCCCGGGCCCAGGCCCCGCCCCGCCCCGCGCGCGCCCGGGCCCCGCCCCGCCCCGCGCGCGCCCGGGCACAGGCCCCGCCCCGCCCCGCGCGCGCCCGGGCCCCGCCCCGCCCCGCCCCGCGCGCGCCCGGGCCCCGCCCCGCGCGCCCACCTGCCCGTCCCCGAAGCGCGCCTGGAGCGCGCGGCGCGGCGCCAGGAAGTCTCGAACCCGCAGGTGCCGGGCGTGCGTCTCCTTGAACCACACGGGGCCCCCCGGCCCGAGGGCCGCGTTGAGGGCCCCCAGAGTCTGGCCCACCCCGAGACGCTCGGTCTCCATGGTGAGCGGAACCGGAAGCACTATGGTTGTAGCACTTCCGGGAAGGGGCGGGGATCCGGCAAGCGCCCTCACCCCACTAAGTGGACAAGCGAGCGCCTGGGCCGGTCCGCTAGGCTGCGTTTGACCTATGGCCCCTGCCGCACTTCCGGACCCCAGGTTAGACATCTCGGGGTCCTCTCCTCACCTCTCCACGCCCCTGGGGCTCATGTCCACCACAGGAGCCACCCCACATCTTTGTACTCCATGTTTCACTTTTTCTCATTTTAAACGTGACTCAATGTCAGAATAAACGCCAGTGAGCAAACCCTCAAGTTGTAGGCACACGGAAGGCTCGTGTGCTACGGTTTCAAGTTCTTTGCAAACCTTCTTTTGAGATACAGGTGTCTTTATTACTGAGAAAAGCCCAGTCTGATAGAACGACCCGCTTTCTTGAAATCTAAAGATTTGGAACCATCCCCATCAGAATTGCTAGCTTTTAATGTTCCTCCCGTGACCACAAGCGATCCTCCAAGTCCTGTTCTGGCGAAAGAGCCAGTGGGAGCCAACTAAACTTTGTGACCACGAGCGTTCTCAATTCTCAGTATCGTATGGAAACTGCAACGTCTTAAAGAGAGGTCTCGACTAGTTCGAAAGTTTACAAGCACTTTTTTTTCTCTCACTCCCCCTTTCCCCACTTTCGATCAAGATTGAGCTCGCCTGCTGATCTGTGCTTTGGGAGTGCCCAAAGCTCCAAGAGAGGAGGGACATGCAGGGGGCAGGAAGTTTGGCAAGGCCTCTCTCGGGGTCAGGGCTGCGAGGCCCTGCTGAGAAGCGCCGAAAGAGCACTGGGCGGACACGACATTCCCGATGGCTTCTTGGCTTGCCCACTCAACGGGAGTGATCGTGTCATTCCAAAGCCCTTTCCATGCCACGTGCTCAAGACCTGGAGACAAGCTGATTGACTTCAGCTACTACTCTCGGTCCACGAAGACGGTTGGGTGGTTTTTTTCCCCCCCAGGAAGTGAAGGGCTATCTTTAGCTGGGGCGCCTCTGTGGGACTCCGCCATTGCAGCCAGGACCTCTCTCTACAGTGCTCCCAGGGGGTTGCAGAGTTTCGCCAGCCCCAGCTCTTCGACGGCTATGCCTGCAACTTCCAGCCCAGCACCTGAGAGGGGGACAGAGACTGGAGAGGCTCAGGGGCGGGTGCCTGGGGGTCAGGAGCCACCCCCACTGTGGGCCACCAGAGTGCTGCTCAGGCAGGAGAGCAGGGAACGAAATCCAAGCGCAGCTGGAATGCTCTGGAGACAACAGCTGCTTTTGGGATTCCGTTGCCCGCTGTCCAGCCGCTGGAGGGGTGCGGGTGGGGGGGGGGCTCCTGGCCCTAGGTCACCGGCCCTGGGGCCAGACCCACAACCCGTCCATCCCGTCCCCCGGGGGCGGGGGCGGGGCAGGTCGGGAGTAGGCAAGTGTAACCTAGTCGGGTGAGAAGTGAGGCGCTCACCTGAGCCCCACAACAATAGGAGGGAAGGCGGGTGGCCTCTCCTGGGACCAGGTCCCGATCCGGATTAGATCCCAAGGGCGGCTGGATTAGCCCTGTGGGTCCCCACGCAGCCCGAGCCACTGGGCCCGGGACGGTTTAAGAAGGGGGGAGGTGGGGGGGGAAACGCAAGGCTTCGAAATCCGCCCAGAGGAAAGAAAGCGCCGTCCGCGGTGGTGGTGGGAACCTGGGAGGAAGTCACCCCGCGCGGCCACTTCTGGGGGGACCCCCCAGCCGCCCCCCCACACCGTCCCCACTCCACCCCACCCCGCCGCCGCCGCCCCCGTCGCCTTGGGGCCTTTTGTCCCGTGACGCTGCCAGCGGCGCCTAGAACCGAGCGGGCCCAGCACACCGCAGCGACGGACACCCCGAAACCCACGGACGACAGGTCACGGGCCCCGACGTCGCCAGGCTTTCTCGCCCGCACGGCCCTGGCCAGAGCGCGGACGCAATGTTCCGGCCCCCCCCCCCCCCCCGCCCCCGAGGCCGGGACAGGGCCGCGGCGCCCGAACCCCGCGCGGCGCCGGCGACTCTGGCGCCACTAGGCCCTGGATTCGGATCCAGCCGGGGGGGGGGGGGGGCGGCGGGAGACTCTCGCGAGGCGCGAGCCGTACGAGCGAGGGCAGGCTGCTGGCTCCGGGCGCCGGGGTAGTCGGTGTGGGTGGCACGTCCGACTGGGCTCCGGTCCGGTCCGGCCCAGGCCCCGTCCTCATTGAACGGCTCCGTCAACACTCCTTCCGGCGTGCCCTTCCGCTGGCTCTAGGGCTGGCCCGCAGAGTTGGAGCCATTTTAAGGCGAAACCGCTAGGCCACGCCCCCTCGCGCCCGCCGGGACCAATCCGCACGCGGCCACGCCCCCACGAGGCGCGCGACGCCGACGCGGCCACGCCCCCGCCTCCCGGGCCCGCCAACGGTCGCGCGAGTGACGGTTAGGGGCGGGCCGTCCTCCCCAGACCCGCCGGGGAAACCTGAGCCGCGCCGCCCCGCCCCCGGGCCCGGCCCCGCCCCTTCCCCCCCAGATCCGGGGGATTAAGTGCGGCGGTGGGTGGGGTGGGGTGGGGAAAGGCGGGTCCGGGAGGCTCGGGGGCTCCCCGCCCCCCCGCCCCTTGACCAGGTGTGCGGAGGGGAACAGGTGCGCGGCGGCCCCGCCCCGGGAGCCCCGCGTCGCGGCGGAGGGGCCCAGGCTGGGGCCCGGGGGCCGGGCCGAGCCCTGCAGGGCGATCGCGCTGCCAGGTGTCCTCCCCCCGCCCCTCCCCCGGCTCCTCCCGTCCCCCGGGATGGCCGGCGCGCGGCGGGGGGGGGGGGGGCGGGGAGAGCGACAGGTGCGCGGGACACCGGAGCCGCCCCGGGGGGCGCGGGCGCCCCAGCGGTCATGGGCGCCGCCGCGGCGGGAAGTAGCGTGCGCGGCGCCCTCCGGGCCGCAGGGCGGCGCTGCGGCCACGCCGGGCCGCGGCCTGGGCCGCGGTGCGACCGGCTAGGCCCAGGGCCCCGACCATGGCCGCCGCCGCCGCCGCTTCGGCCTGGCGCTGCCTCTCCCGGGCGCGCCCCGCGCCGTGCCGCCCGCGCGCGGAGCTGCCGTGGTGAGACGGACCCCCCACACCCCCCCCCCCCACGGCCGATCTCCCCTCCTGGCCACCCGAGCCCGCTCTCTAACCCCCGCCTCCCGTCCCCGCCAGGGTCCCGCGGCGCGGGCACCGGCTCTCCCCCGCGGACGACGAGATGTACCAGCGGACGCGCATCTCCCTGCTGCAGCACGAGGCCTCTCCCGCCATGTACATCGACAGCTACAACAGCCGCGGCTTCGTCATCAACGGGAACCGCGTGTTCGGGCCCTGCGCCCTGCTCCCCAACTCGATGGTGCAGTGGAACGTGAGCCGCCCCAGTCGAACTCGCCCCGAGGCGCACACGGGGGAGGGGGAAAGGGGGGGGTGTTAGATTGACAAGTTGAAAGAGGGATCTCCCCCCCCCCCCAATACAGGTGGGGTCTCACCAGGATATCACTGAAGACAGCTTCTCCCTCTTCTGGATGCTGGAGCCCAGGATAGGTATAGGGGATCTTGGGGAAGGGGGTACTTAGGGCATTTCTGCCCCGTTAATACCCTCAACAGACTGACTAGCTGCCCCTCCTTTTTCTAGAGATTGTGGTGGTAGGCACTGGAAACAAGATTGAGCGTCTGCACCCCCAAGTGCTCCAGGCGATGAGGAAACGGGGCATCGCTGTGGAAGTGCAGGACACGGTAGGTTCGGAGGTTCTTTGTGGGTCGTTCCGGCTCAACCTTAGGCTGACGGATGACCAGTTTGTCTTTTCATTTCAGCCCAATGCTTGCGCCACCTTTAACTTCCTGTGTCACGAAGGCCGAGTGACAGGAGCTGCTCTGATCCCTCCACCTGGACACAGTTCACTCACACATCTGGGCCCAAGTGCAGCATGATCCAGCAACTGAGCAGTTGTCTGGGAGAGCAGAGGGCAGAGGGCATTCTCATTTCATTACCCTTTCATTCTCAGCACTTTAATAACACTTGAGATTGTAAAATCATAAGCCTCTTCTAGTTTGTATGGGGTGTGTGGCTGGGTCACTGGGCTTAGGGTGGTGATATGCAAGTCGAAGGGGCAGTTTCATTATTGCCCAGGAGGCAGTTTATATCCCCGTCCATGTACTTGCTCACTTTTGCAGATCTGAGGCCTTCAATTCTCATTCTCAAGTTAGGAAGCGTGTTATGGTGTTATGTTGTGACCTAGGTAGTCTCATGTAGCCAAGCTGTTTGGATGCCAAGACTATGTTGTAATTCCCAAGAACCACTGGAGTCATAAGACATGAAAATAGAGAATTGTCTCAGCAAGGCAAAATTAGCTTGAGGATGCAGCACCATCAGCCAAAAATATGGCAAGCACAGAACAGCAGGCTGCTTCCCTGTTTATCCCTAATGCAGCAGGACCCGCCCTTCTGCTCAGACTGGCTGAGTACAGGTTCATAATTGGCTAATTTGAATAGGACAAGATGTATTCCCTTAAGGTAACTGAAACTTGATTACCTGTACTCAAGTAAGCTCGAAATCTATCCACCCTCTCCATTTCTCGAGCACTCTTGAGGTTTGTCTTCTAAGGTGTGTCTTAATTCCATCTTGGAAAAACCAGTTAAGTAAAAACCCTCACATTTCAAAAATCCCTACCACAGAGCAGTTCCTCTTTCATGTTTAGGCCATTTGGGCCTGGGCACCTCCTTCAGCTCAAAACTAAAGCTCTGCCACTTGAGCCACAGCACCACTTCGGGTTTTCTGGTGGTTTATTGGAGTCTCAGGCTTTTCTGCCTGTGCTGGCTTATGAACTATGATCCTCAGATCTCAGCCTCCTGAGTAGCTAGGATGACAGGCGTGAGCCACTGGCTTTGGCCCACCTTAGGCCACTTTAAGCAACACACTGACAGAAAAAGTTTTTCTCCAAGGACCTCCCCAGGAGGCAAAGTAGGTTTGAGAAGAGCACGTTAGATTACAGA